TGTTGTTTATAGAGTTGCTATGAGTCAGAAATTCATCTTACTTGAATCCACAATCAGCACCCTTGGTTCCAGCAGTCAGAAGATCAGGAGATATATTACACTGGGAAAGTCTGCAAACAGGGACCTTTCCAAATTACTAAGGAGCGACAGTGTCAATTTGAAGACTAAGGTGCTCCTGATTCAGGTCATGATCTTTTCAGTCACTTCCTATGTATGCATCTGAGAGCTGGACAGTGAATAAGGATGACATAAGAAGAATTGAGGCCTTTGAGTTGTGTTGTTGGAGAAGAGTATTGAATATCCTATGGATTATCAAAAGAACAAACATGGAGACTTGGAGAGAATACAGCTGGAATACTCCCTGGAGACAAAGATGATAAAGTTTTTCCTCACATGCTTTTAGGAGGGCTTATTCCTTGGAGAGAGACATCAAGCTTAGAAAAGTAGAGGCTCAACAAGAGACGAAGATCCTCACCCAGATGGATTGACATAATGACTACAGCAGTGGACTCAAGGATGTCAGTGATGATGAGGATGGCATAGAATAGGAAAAGGCTCAGATCTGTTGTTCAAGGGTCGTGCTGAGTCATGCTGGATTCGGTAGCATCTAACAACATGAGTCATAGTCAACTATGATACCCAACAACAACTATATATCTTTCTTAGAATTTTCCTATTACAGGAATATGTATTGAGATTAATACCTATTTACTTTAGGTTGCTTTTATATTCATTCAGCTTTTTATATTTTGTGCAGTGGTTTTTTTTCAACTTTGCAAATACTGAATTGCAATAAAACAAATGTTAATTTTTCTTTTTAGATGATTCTGTCCTGTTTTAGTATTGTTACATTTTATTATCAAACTGATCTTGTTTTAACTTCTTATGGACAATAAATGTTTGGGATAATTAATACTGAAATTTCCTGTTATGCTGGGTTCACTTCTAAGCCTTAGATAGTTTATTTGATGCCAGAATTCTTATTTACTGCCAGAACACTTTTAAGGGCGATGTGAATGCAAGAAGAGTTAGTATTGCTTAGCCTAGCTCAGGTTGTTACTTTACAACCTTCTATACAGTGCTTGTATTTGAAACCAGAGAAAAGAATTGAGGAAAAAATGTACTAGACTCTTTTGTAGTTCCTTAAAATTCATTTACTCTTATCTTAAAACCTTCACTGCTTTGCTTCATTGGAACTATCACATATCTCAGAGAGTTCTGATGGCCTAGTAGGTAAGGAGATGCACTGCCAATCCAAAGGCATGCAGTTCAAATCCACCAGCTGCTCCATGGAAGAAATATGGGCATTCTTTACCCACACAATTTACAGACTCTAAAAACGTGTCAGCTATGAGTCAATTCCAACCCAGTGACCCATAACAACAATATTGCTAGGTTATTTTTCAAAATTTAGCCTTTCACAATATACGGACAACTACTGAAATATTTTTAAATAATTGATTTTAGTTTACATTTTAAGAACTTTGATAACTATAAGTTATTTATTGAGTCATTTAATGAATAATATGAATTTTCACATAATAGTAAGGTATTATGTATAATAATTTTAGAAGCTTAGATAAATAATGGCATCTGTAAAATACTGCTTAAAAGAATTAGGAGATGTAGTATAGAATTGTTGCAGGTGTCATCGAGTGGTCACTGCAAAATACTGCTGCCACACAAGTCAGCAGACTTGATAGAGTGATGGAAATTAAAGTAATAACAGAAAAAGAACTGAGGTATTATTGTTAGAAATAACAAGTGCAAGTAGGTATATAAGATGATGTGATTTTTGTTAAATACTATAAAATGGTTTTTTGTATGTTTAGGGGAAAATTCCACAAGTATGTATATTAAGCTGGGATTATATTTAACTTTTAAATGTGTTCCTTGTTTTGGTGAAGCTTTTATAAAGTATATGCTATAATAAAGTATCTATGTTAGGCATTAAAATGAATGACATTAAATAATAAGCTGAAATTTTCTTCCCGATTTTCTTTTAAAAATTGGACTGTTACTCAATCTACTAACTAGATTGGTAGGTTCATGTGAAATTATTTGCATATACTTTTGTTAACCTCAGTAAATTTAATTAAATGAAAATTTTTGTCCAGGGTATTTTCAGAATCTGGAAGTTTCCTCATAATTCTCTACTCTGTGACACATAAGGAGCCTGAGTTTTATGAATGCCTTCCTTGTAATGGAATGACTGACCTTCAGTTCCAGTTACTGACTAGCAAGGAAACATTACATCTCTTCAGAGTAAGTAACTTGACTATCTAGTAGAATCATGAGTATTTTGGCACATTAAATTCAATATTGTTTATCCTTTAATATACTAATTCAAACTGTAGGGCTTTGTTTCTTTAGAATCTGTTTTAATTAGTATTAACTATTTTTAAATTTGTTTAGTAAATGTTAGACCATATCTTTAGGACCAAATTAGAATAGAGAAACCAGGGGTTAGGAAAACTTGCCTAAGTTTCAATTATTTGTTACTTGGGTATTTTAAAATGTTGACAGTTAATTTTATGATGCTTTAGTGTTTTCTTGGTTCTGTTGATTTAAAAATATATAGATAGCAAATTTTTTTTCTTTTTCATACTTCAAAGTCAGTACTTAATAAAATGATTCTAGTAATCAGAATACAATTTTGTTGTATCCTATCTAGGGAGTATTTATGGTCTAGTCTGTGGGGAGTTGGACTGCTAATTCAAAAGCAGCTCCTTTCTGGCAGTTCGGTCCACCAGGTGCTTTGAGAGATGTACTGTCCGTCCTCTCTGCCATTTACAGTCTGGAAAACGGCTAGCGAATAAGCTGTGAATCAGTTCTGACTTACAACTCTTATTCTGATCACTAGGTTGATTTCATATAAACACTATTTGGCTGTATCATTATTTAAAGAGCCCTGATGGTACAGTAGTTAATGAATTCAGCTACTAAACCAAAGGTTGGTGATTCAATCCTACTAGCTGCTCACAGGAGAAAGATGAGGTAACCTAGTTCTGTAAAGATCTATGGCTTTGAAATCCCTATTCGGCAATTCTGTCCTAGAGGATCCCTGTGAGTCAGAATCAACTCACTGGCAGTGACTTTTGGGGCTTTGGATTTGGTTTATCTTTTATTTAAATAAGGAAATTAGAAAATTATGTAGGTGATACCAAGAAAAAGTAAATCTTTGAAACCCTAGATATCATTATGGAAAACATTCCAAGACCACTTTTCAGTGAAATTATTGGTTATCCTACAAAAAACCATTTAATGCCTCTGAATAATAACCATGTGTTGCAGAACTATTTTGTGACTTGAATTCATTTAATCAGCTCATGAATCAAATTTTTATGTTTTATTTAGAACTATTACTGTGTAATGAGATAGAATCAGCTTTTTTTTAAGGACATACTTATTCTTTAGAGAGTATATTCTTTTCATGGCTTTTTTTAAAACTTTATTGTAATTTTTTTAAAATTTACAGAAAAGTTGAATGTTCATTTATTAGTTATTGCACATTTTTTCTCCCTATCACTAGTTCACTTTAAAAAAAATTTATTCTTACATAATTTCTTCTCTTCCCCCTTCCTTCCCCCAGTTCACTTTGCTATGCATTCTGGACTGTTGTCATACAGATAATGCCTAATCATATATTCCTTTTAAACAGTTCTTTCCTTCATCTGTTTCAATGCAGTGTTCATTATTTATCCTCTCTTTTCTTAGTTTCTCCCCAACCCCTATGTCAGCCCTGTTTTATAATAGTTTCATTATGTAGTATTTGTTCTTTTGTTTCTGAGATATTTCACTTAGCATAATGTCCTTCAGGATCACCCAGGTTGTATAATATTTTATTAATTCCTTGTTTTTCAGTGCTCCATAGTATTCCATTGTGTAAATATACCACACCTTCTCTATCCATTCATTTGTTGATGGGCACTTGGGTTGCTTCTATCTCTTTGCTGTTTGAATAGCACAGCAATAAACATGGGCGTGCATATATCTATTTGGATGGATGGCAGCTCTGGTTTCTTTAAAGTATATTCCCAGTAGTGGAATTGCTGGGTCAAATGGTATTTCTATTTCCAACTTTTTGAGAAAGTGCCATACTGCCTTCCATAGTGGTTTCATGATTTTACCCTATCACCAGCAGTGAATAAGAGTTCCAATCTCTCCACAACCTTGCCAGAATTTATTGCTTGCTGCTCTGTTGAAGTTTGTTGTTGTTACAGGGGTGAGATAATTATCTCATAGTTGATTTATTAACTTTTTAAAAATTTATAGTTTTTCCCTATTTTTGTTGCACATTTTTCTTCCCTCCCTTTCCTCCCCTCCCCTCTCCTATCCCCAGGCTACCCAGCAATGCATTCTTTTCATGGCAATTATAACTTAATCATTTATTATTGTTTTAAGGACTTAATTCAGGTGATTTTTAGTTCTGTAATAGTTGGAGAGATTGAAAAGAACAAAAACCAGTAAAGTAATCCTCTGTTCTCTCCCTTTGCCCCTTAAGAGTTATTCTTCATCTAAATAGAATTCTCTGCTGTTTTCATTTGAGTGATATCTCAAAGTATGAACTACTTTGTTTCAGAATGTGGAATCTTCTGACAGAAATCCAATCTCTTTTGAAATGAGTACTGAAAGCCAAAGTACAGAAGCCGAGTTTTTCAGCAAGATTTCCAAAAATCTTTCAATTCAGAGGTAAATAATTTCCTTGTGTTTACATGTGCTACCCATTAGTTCTGATAAAACTACTTGTAAATCTTAAATGCTATGGATATCTTTCCTTTAAATTCTTTCCTTCATATTCAAGGTTAATTTGAATTTTCTTACAATTCTAATGTAGTTTTTATATGAGCTGGTTTATTACATAAAGAAAGAGAAAAAAAAGGCAAAGAAATTACCTTGCTTAGGAAAAAGCATCCTATTTTTATTTCACTTGCCTTCCCTTTGTTATTCCCTTCCTTATAGACTTATACCTGAGCCTAACAGATAAACTACTCTGAAAAACAACCCTTTACTTATAAAATCATGTATTTAAAACTTTGAATTTAAAGCAGGTACAGCTGGAAAATACTCAATAAAGGCTGTGACTTTTTGAATCACTGTGTTCTGTTCTAATTATTATTATAAAGAAGGTTTTCTCCAGTTCAGCTTTCTCTTTTGCTCTACTATTTCTTCTGCCAAGTAATGTGCTGAGACCTTGAAGGTATGCAAAACAGAGGGAGGCCGAACTCAGTCTTTGACCTTGTGGAATGTATTTAGGTTCCAGCCCAAGAATGTTCTTCATATTACCTGAGAAGCCCATTGGCTATTTTTACCAAATATTTAATAGCCCTATTTTAAAATTTCCAACAGTCGTAATTTATCCTTTGAGTTTTTAGTTTAGAAACTAGTTGGTTGTTTTATTTTTAACACTTGTCAGCAGTTGAGTTGTCATTTTTTTCCACTTTTTCAAATATAACTTTAGCCTAGTTTTAGTTTAGTGTCTTACTATTTTCCTCTGCCTGAGAAAATGGCCTGTCTTCTTTTTTTTTTTTTTAATGACAGTCACTTATCAGATCTTAACAGTTTTTTAGGAGGAAATTACGCAAGTTTAAAATAAATACATAGTACATTTTTAGGTGTTATTTTAGTAAACTTTTACAAACCATGTGCTTTCAGTCAATATGAACTATAGAAGCTGTATAACATGGTTAATTATGGCCTTGGGTATGCTCTTGAACCTAACTATGCTTAAGTCTTGGCTCTAACATCAGTATCCTATCTGTTGCATAGTAATTATTGTATTTGTACTAAGAGCCTATGGTGATGAAAGAAGAAGTTCAGGCTGCTTTGAAGGAAATGGCAAAAAATAAGGCTCCAGGAATAGATGGTATACCAATTGACAT